CCTAGACACAGGAGAACTATTGTCGTGAAAGTGTTGTACAGTCGATTACGAATTTAGATTGCAGAGAGTTTGTTCTGAGCGCTAAAAGCACTCACGATAGAGCACATTTTGCTTTATTCTAACACAGTAGGTATACTGTCAAACAATATACCATGGAGGATGAAGAGCCGCCAATCAACCCCATTCTCACTCCATCGGAAATAATGAATATTGCCCTTCTCCACAGCGGATACACTGTGAGCGCGGCGAATCGAACGTGCCAAGGGGAAGACGAATGTCTTCCGCTTCATGCATCACTTTGTTGGAGTCTCTCCATGCACTGCATTTTGGGTCTACACTCACCTGCAAACGATCTCAAGGATTTTTTAATGGGTCTTTACTACCTTCGAAAGTACCCTACAGAAGAGGACCTATCATCGGCGTTCAATTTCTCAGCAGGTTGAACAAGGACCAAAACATTTGCTACGATCGCAAAGATCCGGATGTTGAATTACAAGGTAATTGTATGGAAAGAAAATTTCAAAAGGGTAAGAGATGGGTGGTGCCGGTGGATCGGATACACTGCTGGATCAATGATCCCTCTCATTCGGAGTGGAGTCAAATATACCCGCTACTACTCCCACAAATACAGCAAAGCGGGTCTCGACAATCAATTGGAAATTTCGCTACTATTGGACGATCGGCTGTTGTGGATGCGTGGTCCCTTTCCGGCGCGGACTAATAATACTACTGTGCTGTGGGGAGAAAGGCTGTGCGGAACTTCAACAATGAAAACAATCCGCCATTGGCAATGAAGGCTACAATCATGGTGAACCTAAAAATGACGTCAGCACCTACAAATAGCACAATAATGCTGCAGTCAAGCTCTTCAAGAGCCAAGTTCTCAAGAGACATATAAGGACAACTGCAACAATTTTTTTGAAGCAAAACAATATTTTGGATACCCCTTTTCCGTCACAACGAGTTCAGAGATGCGTTTGAAGCTTGTTGCGTTCTGGCACAATGTTGCATCCAGGGGAGATTCCACTCTACGACTAGCTAGGTAGCCCCACCGAATTCTATGTACGACTCCTAGTTAATTAGAATCTACAATCTATCTATTCCAAAACATATCTGCAGCTCTGGTGCTCCTTGCAGGAGTTGCTTGCCGAAGGCCTTGTTGAAATACAAAACTTGGAGCATCCCCTGGTGGGCTTTTGGTTAATTTGCTCTGAGTTGTTTGATTATCCTTGGATTAATGAGTTCCTGGTGGAGTATTACGACGACCCGCCATCCGCAATTGTTGATGCAATCAAACAAACAAGAAGTGGCAAGTCTATCAACAATGCTCCAAATCGAGAATCAGTGAAGGAACCGGATCCGCCTTGTATCCAAAAAATATACGATCCGATGTATTCTATTGACGAACAGGACACGGATGTTCAACGCGAATCCACCAGATCCGAAGGGGACCAGGTGCAAAACCCAAATCGCTTTGCACCTCTACAAAGTGATGATGACTCGTTTGAAGGTAGTGGAATTCAGGAATTCGACGAGGTTGAAGTGGTGGCGGTGAAAAAGAATGCCTCCAAGGCGCCTGAGTCGTCGGATGA